GTGTCTGTTTGATTTGACCCTTCCACCATATTTCTCTCTGGTCTTTTTTGACACTCTCTGTGTTAATGTGATTGGCCTTTCAGCTTCACTAACTCTTTTTAACAAGATGTAGCACTGGTGTGGCACTATAGTGTGTGTGTGTGTGAGTGAGTGAGAGAGAGAGGGGTGGGTATGGGTGTGGGTGGGAGAAAGAAAGCGAGACAGCTGAGGTGTATTAAAGTTGTCAGAATGTGGCCGACTATCGTGTTCAATATTTGAGCACAGAGAGGGGGTTTTGTTTGTCTGAAGCGAACAATAGGACGAAAGTAAAGCAAAGGCCGTGGGAGGTCCTCATAAATATGGGCGAGTGTGCATGCATGTTTATGCATGCATATTTCAGCCTCGTTTTAATCTGACGAGACTATCAGTTGAAGAGTGGGTGTGTGTGCAGATTAAGCTGCCGGGGATTGCTGACGGTGAGGAAGTGCGCGCCGTGTGTGGTCGCAGGTGTTTCTGCATCTGAGAGAACAAGAAAAAAGAAAAAAGAAATGAGACAAAGGAAAAGAAAGAAAGAGGAGGAGGGAGAAGATTGGAGGTAGATGAGAAAGAGAGAGAGAATAGGTCAAGAAAAGTACTGTGCTTATGGAAGCGTGGCAAACATGGAGATAAAGGGTACGGATGCAGGATAAGGCCTTGGGGCAGGACGGAGGATTTATTGCCCCTGGCACAAGAGGCCATTCGATAAATTGCCCCTGTGTGGTCGGCACAGAAGAGGTCTGCGATACAGTGACAAAGGTGTTACAGTGGAGAGAGGGTGGTGGGAGGCGAGGTTAATTAAACTCTTCAGTGTGAAACACTCTCATTCATTACCTTCATTAACTCGTTCATTTAATCTGCTCCGGTGTTGGCATTTTATCACATTCAGCCCCGCTGTAGCGTCATACAGCTGATTAGGTTTCATCTTGAACCCCTCCGCTGCAGGGTGACTGAGAGCGAGAGGCTGAGCACGAGGCCGCTTTAGGTCTAACAGACACAGCCGCACACAGCAAACAGCACAAACTAAATTAAGTTCACGCTGGACATGCATTTTACTTGATTTTCCACAGCAGAGTGAGTGGATTAGTCTTAAAAGTGGAAAATAAAAACGATTTTCACCCCCAGTCTCCAGTGAACTGTGCTGAGGCAAGGATACAGGCCCGCACAAAAGGGGCTAAGGAGCACTCCTCAAACGAGCACGAGTGCAGAACTGACAGAGTGAACCAAATTACAAAGAGCACAAAAAAAAGAAGCCAAAACTTCTCAGTGGTGTTTTTGCTGTGTGGCTCTTTGCTTAAAATAGACACAGCTTTTCCTTTTTGTACCTGGCACAAGAAGAAGAATTTGCTGTTTGAGGGCACAGCGAAAGCAGGCGGCGGTGCGACAAAATGGATTGCATCACGACAAAACATCCCATTTTCAACTCCATTAGGTCCCCCTCACAGTCTTGACACTGTTGTGCTTTTTGCCACTTCACATGATTAATCACGTGTGGAGACTACAGCGAGAACGCGGAAGCCTGAACTGCAGGCAGCTGTGGCTCCACGCTGGAGAAAAAAATCACAAGACACCGTGACATGTGGAGGCGAAACACTCAGAGAAAGAAAATCAGCGGCTGGAATAAAATAAGACTGCAGCAAAAACTGATAGCAATGTTTCGACAAAAGTAGCGTTCTCCTTGTGGAGTATTCAGAAAGCCAGTATTGAATTTTGCACTCTAGAGGGGTTATTTAAAGGCAAATGCTGATAAAAGCCGTTTTTCGCACATGCACTGCAGGCATGAACTTTTCCAGACATTACCCAGTGGGATGGGGAAACCACAGACTGTATATAAAAGATAAAGTTATTGTGCAATTGATCTAAATTTGCATTCTTTCCAAGAGCCAGAAAAGAGAGTTTTCCCCTGTTTGTAAAAAGGATACCGAGATAAGAAAACTTGTTCACTTGATCAGTGACCTCAGTAAGTTTTTTCCTGATGACTTTATGGTTTCGGTCCCTAATTTTAAGTCTTCTAAGGTTGTGCAATTAATCTTTCCATAAAAAAATGGGACTGTTGTGGAGGGCCGCACCAATACGCTTATAAGTGAACTGAAACAATATTGGACAGAAATGAGTTCAACTTATTGGTGCGGCCCTCCAAAACAAAATTAACTGCCCATCCAGTCACACAGGTTTAGAGACCAGTTGGTGCCTTCCTACCAAACACTGGTTGCTAGGGAACAATGAGTAGTCTTAAATAGCTGCAATTGGTTGCTGAAACAAACTCCAGGAACCACTGGATTCAATTACTAAGCCACAATCATGCAGGCCTACAGACTAGTTAGTGACCCTCTGGGGGCCACTGGTCTGTAGGGAGAAATGTGCATTTCCCGACTGGGGAGTCACAACTGGTTGGTGCAAGTTGCTGACTGTCAGTAGGTAAACTCTGTGGCAGAGATATATACGCTGCTGCATCAAAAAACTCGCTGCAATTGCCTTGGTTAGTAGCAGATTGGAGTGCTTGCCCGCAGTTTGCGTAGAAGACTCGTCTGCAAACAATTGCCAACTACTTGCAAAGTGATTGTTCAAAATAAAAGTTGTTTCTTACTGCTGAAACCAAGACATTTTAAAGAGTGAAACTTTTACTTTGAAGGCCAACTCTCTCAATTCTAGAGCTTGGAGATTAGTTTGGTGTGCATGACAACCTGTAAAGCAAACACAGGGAGGCTTTTTTGTTGTTGTTTTGGTCTTTGCGACCAATTTCACCTTGCAACCTGCAAATATACATTTCTGAGGTAGTCTCCAGGCATGTGTGACTGGGGCCTTAGTTAATCTGACTTGATGTTCATTTTGTACATTTGGTTGCATGTAGAACAAACAACAAAGCAGAGTTAGCTTCAGGGCGTGGCAGCTTGCTATGGAAAAGTCTCTACAAGTGTGCCTCTGTCGCAGCTGCTTCTCGTTTTTCAAGTTCATTTTCGAAAACACCAAGGAGACGAAGGCTGGCAAGGCTTAGGTCAATGCCTCACAAGTGAAGCTCACTATCCAGTGAGTTCACGGAGGCTATATCCAGCTATGCTGAGAACACAAATGCCCAGCACGGCCAGAGCAGACATTTAATGATCTTTATGCAGCCAGCTTCTCATTACAAAGTCCATGTGACGTCCACAAGCAGGAGGGATTGATTAGGTAATTGTCGTGAGCTCGCAGTGAGCCACTGTGTGCCTCCTGTGCATTCTACACAGGAAGCCTAAAACAAAAAATGGAGCCAGTAGTGAGAACATGCCTCCTCCTGCGTTCTACATGTGAACAACAACCCAACTTGATTGTTTTTACACTGTCCACTGTTTATATATTTTAAAAAATGACCAAAGAGTTATATTTCGCAAAGATGTCTCTTGAGTTAAAAGGCGGCAGTGAACTTTAAAGATTAAGCGATGTGGTGATGTGGCACCGGGGAAACATGAACCTGTGCAGCCCACTCTTCATCTCTGCTGGGGGCCGGCAGCTCCAGGCTTCATTAGCCACAACCTGCAGAACATGACTGAATCCCAACTGTTGGCAATAAAGCTGAATTGTGGGTAATGTACGTGCTGGCTTTGACAAGAAAGACAAATGTGTGGAATAAAACAGACAATATCCCTGCTGCTGCTGCTGTACTGACTTTGATTATAGAAGTGGTGCATCCTTTTCAAGCGTGTCTCAGGTCGTGAGATGACATCGAGTATAAAGCCAAGAGCATAAAGCCATATTTTTGGAGGTCAGCATGCGGACCATGGCTCGGTGTTGACGCCTTAAGCATTCTTGGACAGTCTGCGAGCCAATGTGTCCTTCCAAACTTCTCCAATCATGTCTAAAGCAAAAAAGTGATGAGTGCACAGTACTGTGGACAGCCTGCCCACTCCTCACGCTCCTCTGCTATTCTCACTGTTCCCCTCGTCCTTTTTCCTGCTTCACTCTCCCTTTTTCCTCTGAAAGTGAGCCAGTGTGCACGGTGACCTTCAACCACACCCACAGGGGAAAGAAAAGAAAAAGAAGAAAGGGGGGGAGGGGGGGAGTTAGTTGCAGAATGGAGGAGAGAATAGGATAAACATGAGAACAGGGGTGACAGAGAGGCAGTGGTAACAAAAGGAGGGCTGAGGAACACACACACATAAAAACCAACGCTGAAGTGAGGAAAATGGAAAAATCTCTCCTCTCTTGGAAGCCAGCGGAGCGCAGAGCTGAATCTGACAAGAAGGATGACTCTCCATCCCTTTTCTCACCAGTCTGATTAAACCTCTCACTCTATGAACCTAGCACGCTGAGAGCCACATGAGTGAGAGAGCCGAGGACCCGAGCCTTTGCTCAAAGTGCGGGCTGGGGTGCCAACAGATACACTCGAAGGAGCAAGACCTTGAGGACAACGTGACACTGTGAAATTCCTTCAAACTTCATTTGCGGCCGACAAAGGAGCTGAAATTGAATTCTCCAACATGGAAATGAGCCACACGCCTTTTTTTTTTGTATTTTTAAACAGTTTCCAAGCGATTCATTTTTGAGCAGATCCGTCCCAGAAAATTCCCAATCCTTCTCTTTAAGCCGGCTGTAATGAGTTAATCTACAACAGAGGAATGATTTCCTTGTGTGACTAAGACAGTAAGCAGACAGAAGGAGGCCTAATTAAACTTGTAACATCTGCCTTCTGAGCTCTAACTGCGTCTACAGGCTATAAGCATCTCTCGCTCCACTTCCTCCGCTCTTTTTTCAGACAAAGAAGGGTAAATAAGGAATCAGCCTGCTCGCAAACAATGCAACTAATCTTCTCCAAGTGGCATCATCATCATTATTACCATAAGCAGAGACTGTGGTGTGACAGAGTGCTCTAAAATATTCATTGCATCTTCTTCCAGATAAACTTCCACAGCTGATGGTGGAGGGAAGGAGGGGAAACCGGGGGAGGGTGGGAGGTCTGTGCTGGAGCACGTAGCCTGCTTACAAATTACCACCACAACCAAACTCGGACACAGCGTGAGTGAGTTGCTCCTCGTCCTCCCCTCGCTGTTGCACCGCTCTGCCTCTTTTCACACGAGCCATCTTCGCGGGAGGATCGGCCGGGATCGCCTCGCCGCTGATGCTCCACTTCTGACCGACTTCCCGGCTGCTCCGCACAGCCCGAGCCCGGCCGAGCAGCAGCAGCCCTGCACGGCTCTCTGCCCCCGCTGCTATTTCAAAAGATAAATCGACAGCAGCAGTCTCCGACACTGCGGGAGGCGACAGACCCAGATCCAGATCGAGCCTCTGCTACAGCCGCGGATGCAGCCCGAAGAAGGAGAGATTTGCCATGCCAGATCTGCACGGAGGAGGAAATCTTGATAAGTACGAGTCGTTTCGTTTTCTTTTCCTTTTTTTCCTGCTCCTTCAAACTCGAGTCTGCTTGGTGTGGCAGTAGCGGTGACTTTGCCCTCTCACAGCCTCTCCCTGAGCCCCCCTCCTGATGCCTGACTGTATACAAACACCCGTGCTGAGCGAATAAGACTTTTATCGCCGAGCGCGGCTCATCAGCGACAATAAAAAGAGACTTTACTGGTCACCGACAGCGCTTCTTCTTGGCGGAGGAAACGGGGTGGAAAAAAAAAAAAAAAAAACAACCCCTCAGTACTTGCTGTAAATCAAGCCAGGAAGATCGAGCCCAAGTGCAAGACGAATGGTTTGGGTAACTAAAAGCTTTGCTTTACTTTACTAACAGGCATCCTCGGATGAAGCCACAATACCTGCTGTTAATGGGGCGGTTATGAAACAGGTGTTGCAGAGAAGCGCTTTAATAGAGATCGTTAAAGGATGCAGGACGTCTCAAGGCAGCGCTGCGTGCTGGGCAGCTCCAAATAACCACATTTCAACCCGAAAGAAAGAAAGAAAAATGTGTTAACATTGTAGAAATACAACAGAGAGACCGTCGGGAAACTCTGGGGCTGTTACCTGATAAATCAACAGATGTTTTAATGTCTGGGGAGAGGATTTATTCAGCGGATTTATCAGAGGCTGCTCACCTCTGACTCTGTTAATTAATGGGTTTGCACACAATGGCTCAGATGCTGTCCCGATGCCCTTGGTGCTCCTGTGGCACCTGTGATAAGTTGTGAAGGATTTTTGTCTGTGAGGAAAATTACTGCTCCGCGGTGGGTGTTTTATGGAGTGATGTGTAGGTGCAGACAAATTAATCTTTGCTCTACATGCATTTGTGTTCAACCGGGAATCACCTAGTATTAATAGGGAACAAATGCAAGTGGCAACCCCACCCCCTTTGCTTCATTTCCGTCAGTGTGTGTGTGTGTGAGTGTGTGTGTGTGCTGGAAAGAATTGAAGTGCTTTTTGGATGATTACCTATTCAATAGTGTACAGGGTGTGCACTCATGCCTTATGTGAGGAAGACAAGAGGTGGATACATTTCTGGGAAAAAATGGATTTTTAATGCTAATACACAAATATCTAAGCTGCACACTATTATGTGCCATTACTCATGCTTACAGTGGAATAGGCTGCCTCACCTTGTCAACAGCAGTGTCACTTCCCAGACAGCAGAATGATGAATTTGGTCATTATTGATGAGCTGAGTGGACACGCGGGCTGTCATCCCGGTCTCTCACTCAGAGCAGAATAAATTACACGGCGTTGACAGGGAGTCAAAACATAAACGCCGGCTGACGGATAGATTTGCAGGGGGAAAAAAATTTAAGGCGCCTGCGGAATAACCCGAAAGCCACGACCTCCTGAAAGCCGGCTGCAACTGTAGATGTGAACTTCTTCAACCCTCCTCCTCCTGCTCCTCTCCTGCAGGCTGGGGTTGTCCCCCAAGAAACAAATTTAAATTCCAATATCCTCTCAATCTGCGGCTTGGTGAAATTTATTCAATTTTGTGGAAATGATAATCAAGTTTCCGTGTGCGGTGAGACAAAAGGCTTCACAGACAATCAGACATTGCTGGCATGATCCACGCCTGTCCTCCCACCATCCCTCCGGGGAGATTAATCAGTCGAGATCGTTCCCTTCCTCATCTCTTTGATTCATCTGATTCAGAACAAACCTTTAATGTCTGTGATTCTTCAATAGTCGCCGTGATGAATGCATCTGGATTCATCCAGACCGAGCGGGCTCGTGAAACGCACGCGTTCATGTAAGTGGGTGGAAGTCACTTTCTATCTGCATTTGACTCTTTTCCTTCTTCATTGCTTTCACCGCCTCTCTCCCTGAGCTTATTTATGAACTATTACCATCATGCAGTAACACTTTATTAGGCATGTAGACAGCCAAAAGGCCTATTAATCTTTCACTTGCAGTCTTATTCTCCTCTTTCTCTCACTCTCCCCCCCCCACACACACTATCTCAAAACCCTTTTTTTACCCAGTGGAGTTCTTCAGCCCTCTTCAATGATGGCAGAGCTCCTGTTAGTCTTACAGTGGGGGAAGTGATGTGTCTTCCATCGGCAAGATATCAATACACATTTTTCACGGAGAGACTTTTCTCAGAGGCCGCGATCTTGCCGACAATCTCTCGCTCGATCACGCTCAACTGTTGCTGTTAGGACACATCTGAGCTGGTAATGATTTTATATTATAATGCCATCGATCCGGTTGATGGGTTGACACCCGGGAGTGGTGCTGGGCAGATAACAGACAGTCCAGTGGCGTGTACGCTGTGCTTTTCAGCTAAATACGATAAAGAGACATTGGTTCGACTGCACTGTAAAGTCAGTGATTATTTCTCCTGCTGAAATCAATACTGGGGTTTATACTGTCTGTGGCTGAGATAGGAGCTGTAACAAAATAACGTGAAACCTCATTTTCAGCCAAATTAGCATTGCCAGCCTGCACTCACACGAATGCACAGTGTGTACACAACGGCACGAGACGATCGCATCTCTGAACAAATAGCAAAAATATCAATATTCATCCGAAATGATAGGGGAATTTGGAATGATTAAAGGCTGCAGCGCTGTATGAGAATAAACACGGCACGCTATAGAGACAAAGAAAAGGCTTTGACAGGGCACCTAGCTGCGCCTGAATGCAATTAATTAATAATGAATAAGCTGAGAAAAAAAAAGGATCAGAAACAATAGACAGAAAAAAGTAACAGCTGAGAACTTCGGGGGGGAAAAAAAAATCTGTGATCTCCGAAACAGCAGCAATGTTAGGACCTTTATGGAAAATGAAGACTGTTTAATTCAAAGAGCTGCAGAGGGGGAAAAAAAACAATTTAATAGGCTTCCCAGCTTGAGCAGCCAGGGTGGATGTAGCTCGGGCCAAAGATGAGGGGTTCTCACTGCTTGCTCTGCAGCTGTTGTCTTTAACCATAGCAAGCAGCATTAAATTATTTTACATGTTTGTTTTCAGGGGGGGAATAAAAAAAAAACAAGCATGTTCTTATCCTGCAGATTTGTCGGCTTTACTGGGGACAGATGGCACCGAGCACATCGATGTGAGCAGACTCTGAATTTTGTCGATGCAACAGATTTCCCACAGTGCATCTGTGTACTTCTCTTTCAGGCATGGTGCCTACGCCCCAGGTGTGCGTATCAACCCTGGTCACGGTGAGCACGATGGCAGTGGTGGACCTCTACTTGCTGGAGCAGAGCATGCTGGGAGCTCGGGGTCTTTCAGGACCTAGCGTGTGGCAATATGTGGCAGTGTTGCTGGGCGATTTGGGCTTCCTGCTCGCGCTGCGCTTCGTCTCAGCTGGCGTGGTGTCTGAGGCGCGGTCGCCACGGCGTGGATTTGCCAACGCCCTCTGGTTCCTGTTCCTGTCCCTGCTCCAGCTCAAGCTCTTCTTCGTCTGCCACAACTACAGGCAGGAGCGTCGGCCACCGGATCCTCTGGCCAGAAAGACCCTGACGCTGCTGCTGTCCATCTGTCTACCCTCCCTGTTTCTCATCCTGACAGGAGCTGACCACATGACCCCGCAGCGGAGGAAGCAGGAGGTGCGGGGCCGGCTCCTCTGGGTGGTGGTTGACTTGCTGGATGTGTTGGACCTGCAGGCGGGGCTGTGGGAAGCCCAAGGAGGGTTTGCAGCCGGTACTGGAGGGATTGTAGAGCAGAGGCTGCCCATTTGGGCTGAGGGTCTGGTTTTCTTTTACTGCTATGCCCTCCTGCTGCTGCTGCCGTGTGTGGCACTCACAGAGCTGGGAGCCACTGGTCTGCCAGGACAGAGAGGACCCCGCAAGGAGGCTTTGTACCCTTGGCTTAGCTTGGTCACTATCAATATTTTCACTTTAGCCCTGAGGGGTGCAGGGATGCTGTGGTATAGGGACCCCCGCGTGTCCACTGTGTTTCTGGGCAAGAACCTGCTGGCTCTGGCTGTGAAGCTGAACTCAGCCTGGGAGAGACATAAACAGGAGCGCGGTGCTGCAGGAGGCGGGACTGTGGCAGGAGCAGAACCGGGAGACTCGACCTTGCCAAACCCGGGTACAGAGCAGGGAGAGGGTCAGGCCCAGGGGAAAGCTCCACCCTCTAATTATCACACACTGTCTCATTCTCAAAGCCACTCGCTCTCCCACGTCAGCCTGGAGCCCACAGCGACGCCTTTAGGACCCTCTTTCATCTCCCATGAACTTTAGAGAATCACTCCGAACGTGCACGCGTGCACACAGGCGTGCACCACAACTACAGTGAAAATTCACGCTGGTATCACATCCAAACAGATAACTGTACTGAATTTCAGTACAACAGCGGAGGTTATAATGCAGAACTGTGGAATTGCATTCGGCAAGCTTGGCTTTGTGCACATCTTGCTGTGCTCAGAATAACTCTAAAAGCAGTGCTGTGATTTGTGGATGTGTATTTTTAAAAGTCAACACTGTGAACCCGTCTGTCCGATTGTAAAGACTTTTTCAGAAATGTGTGCTGAAGTCTGCTATTGTCCATCGTGGTTTAATCTTGATTTAACTGTCATCACGTTTGTGGAATTGCATTGTCAGATTTGTTTTTTTCCCCCCTTTTTTAAAGAATTCTGCTTTCCTGATAAATATCTGCTATCACTGATTCATTGCAGCCGTTTAGGGGCGAGAAACAGAAATCTGTTGCTCAGATTCATGAGGTTTCAGGAGAAAAAAAAAAAATCAGACTCGACTCTCTTCTGCCAAAAGACCATTAGATGCCAAAACACAGCTTCTGACCTTTCAGCGTACATTTTCTCACTTCACAGGGTACTTTTACAGAGAAAACTTTAATACACAGAAGTGGTGATTCATTTTTTTCCCTTCAATACCACAGAGCCAACATTCAAAAGCCATCTACCACTAAGAACTCTTCACTGTGCTTCAGTATGTCAATGCACAGTCTAACCTGATGACCCTTTAAATCAAAGTCTAATCACGATTGCAGGTGATTCTACTTTAAGATTTCCTTTTTTTTTTACATGCCCGAAGAGGTACAATTATACAGTTTTTCACAATATTGTAATAGGATGAGGATCTCAGATTTTTTCCCCCTCTTGTATTCTATAATAGATTTAATTTTCCCATGACTTCCCAGATCTATTCTGCAGGGTCCCTGCACCAAGGTTGTTCTCTCATTGATATTATGTACTAGTTTGTCTTGTCTGGAAGAAAATGTTAATGAGAGGAATCAGTCACTTTGTCATTTAGTTGGAGTGAAAACCTGCAGACTCACGGGCATCACCGTAGAACATCTCTAAACTTTGTTTACAATTTTTATGGCATGTTTTGTCTAACTTAAACGCACATCAGTTAGGTAGACTTCACTTCAACATCTGGCAAATATACAAATGTGTCACCGTTTCCTGTTTAAATCATCCAGCAGCAATTTTAACAAACAACAAAATGTACGCAAGTCAAGTCGCCAGCTACAAAAGACGCTGTTTGCAGTTATGCAATCTTTCATTGGCTGGGCTTAAAGGTGGGCGTCGAGCATTTTGCGTCATCTTTGTGTACAGTACAGCTCTTTTTTTTACTAAATTGTTTACCAAGACTGAATACCAATGTAAGTAATCCCTTTAGAGGTTCGAAATGCATTTAAAACTCGTGTTTTTTGTGATCTCTTCTTGTCCTGAAGTGTCATTCGTTCCAGCCATGTATCCAACCGTCAAATGTCTTTTTTCATTTTATATATATATATATATA